CACTGAACAATATGACTTATACCAATGGACTAAACATCAACACATATAACTCTCATTCTTTCCTCCTTTGCGCCACTGAACAATATGACTTATACCAATGGACTAAACATCAACACATATAACTCTCATTCTTTCCTCCTTTGCGCCACTGAACAATATGACTTATACCAATGGACTAAACATCAACACATATAACTCTCATTCTTTCCTCCTTTGCGCCACTGAACAATATGACTTATACCAATGGACTAAACATCAACACATATAACTCTCATTCTTTCCTCCTTTGCGCCACTGAACAATGACTTATACCAATGGACTAAACATCAACACATATAACTCTCATTCTTTATTCCACTTAACATGAAAAACAATCCAAGCTTCATTGAATACCACTTGAACTGGCCAAATACTATGACTTAATAGAAAAAATGGAATTTCCTTAACCTTTCACCTGTTAATCACTTAACTTACAAATCACTCACTTTCTTCTAATTATGAAAACATACAATTAGACACTACAGTAGGTCTTATATTTTCTGAGAAATTTCGCAAAGACACACTAGTTCAAAGACAACTTACCCAAAACAGAGAACTGGCAGCTATAAATGTTACATTCACAGATGTAACACTTGTCCTCAAATAGGTAAAAGAACATCTTTGAAGGAGCCTGAATCATCTTACTTCATCAAAGTACCTTTTATCTACATTTCAAGTTGACTTGTATGTTACATAATTTGTGACTTATTTGCAGCCATGTTTATAGGAGAGAAACCAATCAAATACAAGCTGAACATACACATGAGCATTTACCAAGTATCTCAGTCATAGATCACAACAATCCTGTAGTTTGCCACCTGAACAAAACTAATCATGATACACAACATTTTAAAGTAATTGCCTTAAAATGTATCTAACAACACAGCTAAGAAGGAAAGAACAGAAAAACAATTTTAGGACTGGACTTTTAAAAGTATAATGGTATCAATGAATGGTTTAATTTCTTATAAACTTTTTTCTTTTTGTTTTCAGTTCTACCTACCTCTTTGTTTCAACAGATTTATGTATTATATTGGGTGTTTCAAAAGTCATTTCTGCTGTTCAGACAACTGCATTCAGGAAACTGGAAACAAAGTTGTGAAGCTCTGGGTGTAGATCAAGAGACAATATAAACACTGCAGTGACTTTTTGAAAACTGCTTGAATATGATTTCAGACGATGACTATTATACCCACAGGTGCCATGTTGTGCGACTATGGTGTCATCACAACACACAATATTGCATCCATTGGTTTCCTGAACCTAGTCATCTGAAGAGCGTGACTGTTTTAAACACCTGATACTATTTTAGACACTAAAAACCTCTTGTAATCTTTCCATCTGTAAATATTTGAATATAGTTTTCCATCTCTTCATAAGACCAGTTATTCCATCGCATTTTGTAGCATGATCTAATATTTCTGTCAATTATCCATAATATGAAATTTTTCTACATATAATATTGTGTATGTAATAAACAACTTGTATATATATATTATATGAATTGACATGTATAAAAATACATGTATAATATTACTAACTCCATAGAGAAACAAATAATAATCAGTTCTTTCTGTCAGTACTTCAATATCCCATGTAATTGTATTGTTGAAGTCTCAGGATTCTTTAGTACTCCACGAAGTTGTATTGTTGAAGTCTCGTGATTCTTTAGTATTCCACGAAGTTGTAATATTGAAGTCTCGTGATTCTTTAGTATTCCACGAAGTTGTAATATTGAAGTCTCGTGATTCTTTAGTATTCCACGAAGTTGTAATATTAATACTAAAGAATCACGAGACTTCTTACAACTTCGTGGTGTTGAAGTCTCGTGATTCTTTATTACAACTTCGTGGAATACCGTGGAATACTAAAGAATCACGAGACTTCCATATTATAACTACATGGAATACTAAAGAATCACGAGACTTCAACATTACAACTATGTTGAAGTCTCGTGATTCTTTAGTATTCCATGTAGTTATAATGTTGAAGTCTCATGATTCTTTAGTATTCCATGTAGTTATAATGTTGAAGTCTCATGATTCTTTAGTATTCCATGTAGTTATAATGTTGAAGTCTCATGATTTTTCTCCTGTGATATACCACATTCAGAACAGTTTAGGTAGACAAGTGTTCTACCGATTGCCATAATCAAGACTTGATAAAATGTGTTTACTCAAAATTTTGCTGCATTGGTATTAATTCAGCAATATTGTTACAATAAACCAGTGAACCTTCTTGCGAAATGTATTATATAAACTCTTTCTCATGATTTTAATACCATTAAAATGATATCCCTGGAGAAAGTAAGTTCTTAGCCCAAAGTCTGGACCCCAAAATCTCTGAAGAATCCTTTAGAAGGCCCAAATATCTCACGAAATCATTAAGTTCACCTTGTGTGAAACGTTGTGGATAACCAGATGTTTCAGTTTGAAAACAATCCCTATCATCATTTCTATTGACATCAGAATCAGATGAAACTGTATCAAGAGTCTCTGGTGGAGTAGGTACAGGTACATCTGTCCACAAGCACTAGATCTGATAGCAGATTGAAGGTTCGGGTAAGAAATTTCCTTCTTATTTTGAGTGTTGTAGCCTTGCAAGTTAGATGAGCAAAAATAGCATTCATCTCTACGGTTTCTAGGCTCATGCCAGACCAATGTAATTTCAAAAGGCAAAGACTTTTTCTTACCTTTAGTCCATTGTCTCAACTCTTCAACACAAATGGTGCAAATTTTGTGCAGTGCCCATAATTTGTCTTGGTCCCCAAGTTTTATTCCAAAATATGCATAACATGTCTTTTTGATTAATTCTGTAATGTTTTCTTTTGTTTCTTTACAACAAATATAACAGAATATGTTTGGGTCATTTACACAAACTCTTGTTGCCATAGCAATGAATAAATAATATTGAAAAGAAAAACATAATGTCAAAGTGCATGCACAAACAAATACTATCCAGAAATGACACGTCATGCAGCCTATTAACTGTTTATATACTAGTGGTGTGTTTCTCTTGGGTTTTAGAATGATCAATAAGACTCGCATTGCAGTTGGTCTAGAGAAATCTATAGCCAGTGGTTGTCAACATTTTAACCATATCAAAATGTGACCCGATTTCAATGAAAATTATTCACTTATGTAAAACTACATATGACATTTTGTGAAATATCTGTACGTGATGGAGAAAAATGGATATCATTTTTGGATTCTGCATACAGGAATTACTGTAGAACATGTAAAAACTGCAAGACAATAAAACCATCATAGGCCTGTGTAATCAATATCCAACCTGAAACTAATGTCTTATATAGTGTTTTCACACATAACACAGTTAAAACACAACACTGAGGTTTTAACACAAAAGAAAAAATATATAGCATTAAACCTGCGGGTCACACAACTTCAATGAAACCAGTATGCAGAAACTCAAAAGATTAGGTAGGTTTTCCTAAGGTACAAATAATATTAATTGAATAGATATATATCACTTCTATTACTACTTGCACAAACATAGTGGTTCTTGAATTATTAGGTCAATTCAACAGAAACTCTCCTCAAGCTCTTTGAGTAAAAGAGTTAATATATCTTTGTGTTATGTTTCCATTTTGTTATTAAATGAACCGAGCTTATTGTTTTCTAGAAACTACTTTTTCATTAATTTTTCTTTACCTGAAGGTTTTGAATATTGTTTGTTTATTATAACATTTACCTGACTTTTGTTCAGTGGAGCATTCTGAGCCCATTCATACATTCTTTCATATACTTGTCCATCATAGCAGCCAAGGGCACTGTTCAGTACTAAGTCATGGAAATCAAAAGCATCTACTAGAGCCACAGCATCAGGACGGAGCTCGGCAAGACGACTGTATATGACATTCCTCATTTGTTTCTGATCATCATCAGTCATTCCAACCTATAAAACACAATAGTATTATTAGCTCTTGACGTTATCAATACAATAAAGAAAACATATTATTAGGACTAAATAACTATTAAAGCTATCATATTAGACACAAAGAAACATAGCTTGCAATGTATCTGTGTACATGTATATATATAGATAATTGGTACGTTTGCACACTGTTAGTGTACATATAAGCATGCCTACTGGCCTAACACTAATATAGACTGGGATTTCAAACACATTGGTGTATGTATAAAGTGTAGATTTATTGAACTATACGAGCATTTGTTCCACTGTTCACTTATATTTTCACACTTGTTCCATTCAGTAGTGTCTGATGCAAACCAAAGGTCAAAATGTAGCATCCATTAAAAACTTTTTTTAAGATGACAGGAAGTGTTTGTATAGCAAGATATACTTTTCACAAAGTACTGACATTTGTAAGCATCCTGAGAAGAGCACTGTACACTGTAAATACCTGAAACACTTGATATTACTGACAGTTGAGTAAATTACTTAATTCTTTGTTAATAGTACAGTCTTAAAAACCAGTTATTATTTAAACTTACTTCATTTAAAGTACAGAGATTTCACACTGAAAATATTGACCCATTTAATGTTTCTTGCACAAGAAATGAGTTGAATTACTGTATACATAAAACATTTATCTTATGCATGAATGATATAAACAGACTAGTCAATTATCTATCACTGAATTCCACTAAGACTCATAAGAAATTACATGTAAACAAACACATTTAATATATATATATTGGTAAGATATAAAGGGTTAACAAGAAGCTTTTTAAATTTTTAACCCTCACTTAGGCTTATAAAACATTTAAAAAGATAAAGTTACAATCACTGCATTACTTTCTTCAGAAACAACCAGAAACAATAAATTTATAGGATGATAATGTCACATCAAGATATAAAAATACTATTTACATGAAAAGGAAACATTAAAATAGAGCTTCAGAGATTTGCTTACATCAGTTAAAGATTAGAAGACATGGTTGTTAGAACCTAGTTCTAACCTTTCCTATATTTAATACAAATAGAAATGATTTGAAACTGAATTATAAAATTATAAGTTGAAATATTTAGTCTAATTTCCAAATACTAGAAAAAAATATTTTTATCAAGGTCTGCAAATATCCAGCAAAATGTTCAAAATCATCAAACAGCAACAAGAAAGATTCCAAGAAACTTTTTTATTGAACAAGTGAAGACAATGCCGATGGAAGCCCTTATTAAGACCTGCCAACATAGTCAGACGAAAGAAGTGGGCAAGTGATATGATGACCATGCCTCTGGACTTTTGGAAGACTATTGTTCTCAGATGAATCAAGATTCGCTCAATTTTTGGACAGTGGAAAGATACGGGTCTGGAGAATGCCTCACCAAGAGTTTTGGCTCAACAGATTGCAGCCAATTATGAAGCATGGTGGTTTCAGCGTGATGGTTTGGGAAGCTGTTTGGGTTAGTTGGAGATCGAGCTTAGTGGAGTGCATTGGCAACATAAATTTTGCGAAATACGTCAAAACATTGGAGGAAGGACTCTTGCCACTTTATTCCTCGGGTTTCGTGGACAAGAACACAACGTTGTTCCAGGAAGATGGAGCACTGTGTCACACTACTAGAAACACCCAAAAGTGGCAGGAAGAAAATGGTATCCA